GAAGGGAAGGAGGTACAATCTACTCCACCCTGGTGGAAAAGTCCCCATGATAAGGGCATGGTGGCCACGGAACTTTGAGGAAAGAATCTATGGTTGCGCAGCTGGACTTGGGGTATGAAGTTTTTTCTCCTAGGGAATAATCAAACACCTCCCCTCCAAGGATGTCAGCATCTGAGACATAGTTCCAAACAATCCTTGCTAGTTCTGTTCAGTTCTGGCAAAGAATTTGGAATGCAGAAAATACCATAACATATCTAACCATCATGAGGGAAGCCGAGAAGTCAAGTATAAAGATTCCATTTTATGACCTGACCAAACCAGATATAGTAAATGAGGCTCAAAGAAAACAGATCATGCATATCACCCAATTCTCATTTGTATTGGCAAGACAAGTCTGCAGATGGTGGCTGACTCCTTCTCCCTTCATAGTTCTAGGGCTAACTCTGAAGGATTTGGGATTCTAGTTTTGTCACTCGAGCCCCCACTGTTGTGCTCCCCATTGTCAACCAACTGAACTGCATTAGTTTTTAGAAAAGGGATTTACTGAAAAGATATACCAAGAAAAAATTGATGCCATTTGCCCAAGAATGCCCCCTTCTTCCCTCTTCCTCATCTCATATCATTCAGGGTGCTTTCTGTCACTATCTCTTCCTTCACCCCTGTTTCATGTGAAGAGGTGGCCTCTCTTCTTGTTAAGGCAAACCTCTTACATGGATAAGCAATCTCATTCCATTCTATCTTTTCCAGCAGATTACCCTCTCTACTGTAACTACTTTTCAATTGCTCCTGTCTATTGGCTGCTTCTTTACTGTCTATAAACATGACCACATCAACCCTGTCCTCAAAAAAAAAAACTTAACTTGTGGCAGCTATCCCCACTAGCTATAGTCCTATATCTCTCCTCTCTTTCATGGCTGCCATTTATGAAAGATGCTTCCATTTCCTTTTCTCTCACTGTCTCCCAAACTCTTTGCAGTTTGGCTTATGACCTTACCATTCAGCTAAAACTGCTCATTCCAAAGTTACTAATGATCTCTTGATCACCAAAACTAACCATCTTTTCTCAGTCCTCTTTCTTCTCAATCTCTCTTTCTCCTTTGACTCTGTTGATCACCTTCTTATCTTTGCTTTCTTCTCTCTAGGGTTTTGTGACACTGAACTCCTCTGGTTCTCTTCCTACATGTATAGTCACTCCTTTTCTATCTCCTTTATTGGATCTTCATCTAGGTCACACTCACTAACCATGGTGATCCCCCAAGGTTCTGGCTTGAGCCCTCCTCTCTTTTAAACTATTTCACTTAGCTATCACGTCAACTCCCATGGTTTCAATAATCATCTCTATACAGATGAGCCTCATATCTACTTGTCCAGTCTTAACCTCTCTCCTGACCTCATTTTATATTTCCAACTGCCTTTAGATTTCCCAAATTGTATGGCCCATAGACATCTTAAACTCAACATGTCCAAAACTGAAGGCATTATCTTTTCCCCAAATGTTCCCCTTTTCCTAACTTCCCTAGCTCTGTTTGTGATACCACTATTCCCCAGTCTAGAAACCTAGATGTCATCCTTGACCTCTCACTTTCTTTCACCTCCCCTCCCCCAGCAGTCAAATCCTATCATTTCACCCTTCTAGAATCTTTCCTGCTAGAATCTACTTACTAACATTTCTCATATACGCTCTGCTTTTCTTCTTTGATTCTGCCACCACCCAGGTGCAGGCCCTCATCACCTCATGCCTGGACCAATGCAATATTCCTTTTGGATGATCTTTCCTCAAGACTCTTGCCCATGACAATCCATTCTCCATTTAGCTGTCAAATGGATCTTCCTAAAATGCAGATCCAACCATGTTACCCCTTCTCCCTCATTCAATAATTGTTAGTGGTTCCCTATTACCTCCAGGATCAAATGTAAAATCTTCTGTTTGGCTTTCAAAGTCTTCCATAACCAGCCCCCTTCTTACCTTTCTAGTTTTCTTACATCTTACTTCTCTCTATGTATTCTTCCAGCTAGGGTCCCTGGCCTCCTTTGCTGTTCCTTAAACCTGACACTCCATCTCCTAACTACTTTTTTACTGACTCTCCCATGCCTGGACTTCACTCACTCCTCATCTCTGCCTCCCCATCTCTGCATTCCTTCCTTAATTCTCACCCCAGTTTCTGCAAGAAGCCTTAATCTTCTCTTTGAGACAACCCCCCACCTTGCTCATACATAGTTGTTTGCATGTTGACTCCTCCACATTAGACCATGAGCTCCTCCAGGGCCGGGACTATTTTTTGCCTTTCTTTGTATCCCCAATGCTTAGCACAGTGCCTGGCACATAGTAGGTGTTTAATAAATGCTAGCTGACTGACCAGGTATAATCTTCCCTGACACGTATGAAGTCACTGGAGAGAGTGCTTAAAGGACAATGGTCCTAGGCACACTAGCACAGAATGCATGTGGCCAGTGCTGGGTGCCTCCCAACTCCCACTCCTGAAAGTCCTTCCTGATGTTTTCTTTGGGCTGGGCCAATTCTCTGCTGCTCAAGGCTGCTCTGCCACCCTTATGCTTGAGTGTCAGGAAAGGGGAAGGTGCCAGCTGTTGCCTGGTGCCTGTGCTGACTCCTCTTTCAACTGCAATCACTCCAGAACTTGCAGTGTCCACGAGGTCACTATCTGGTCGTGTCCACCTCAAGGTTGCTGCTTGGTCACCTCCTGACTGTTGCAGCTGCTGCTGCTATCACTTCCAGGGATCTCTGTTCCTGATTGACCCTGGTTTCTGAGACTTTTGAAGGGGTTCTATGGATCTCTTAATCTCACAAAGCTAATGCCTGGACATTTCTACTCCAAAGTACTCATTTTGCACCCAGCTCTGGCTCAACAACTTCTGAGTCATTAGTGCTTCTGACTCTTAAGTCAATTAGTTGACTTTCTGTCATCACAGGATACGGACCCCCTAAGTCACTTATGGCCAGAAATCAGCTCTCCAAAATTTCCATGTGATTGGACTGGAAGCAGGCAGGGAATACCTATGCATGCTTCAAGGACTGCCCCCTGACATTGGCTAGTCCACCCAAGCTACATACACAAACTCTCTTTTGGTGTCCTAGCTCCTCTTTCATTTCTCAGAAGGCAGAATAACAGCTCTCTTTCTAATAGGATGATTAATTTAGAGCTACAAAGGACCTTAGAGATTATCCCTCATTTTGTAACTGAGGAGGCTGAATCTCAGAGAGGTTGTGACTAACCCAAGGTCACACAGGAAATAAGTAGCACAGCCAGAATTTAAACCAAAATTTCTCTGAACCTGAATTCAATGTTTGTTTTTTGTCTTTAAGACAAATACTTCCAGTCTGATTGGATCACACAATGAAGTCTTTATTCCTTCTCCTTTCCCTCTCCTTCTCTGTCTCCCTTGCCCTCTCCCTTCTCCCTCTCCTCCTTCCTCTCCCTCTTCATCTCCCTCTCCTCCTTCTCTTTTCTCCCTTTCTCTCTCCCTCTCCTTCTCCTCTCCTCTCCTTGCCTCTCTCCTCTCCCTTCCACACAATGGAGTTTTTTGGTTCTTTTTGTCAGAGGCTTTTCCTGTTAGCACAGTGAAGGAAGTCAGGCAGTCAATAAGTGTTTATTAATCTCCTACTGTATTCCAGGCACTGTGCTAAGCAGTGAGGATACAAATAAAGGCAAAAGACAGCCCTTGTTCTCAGGAAATAGACAGTTAAACTGGGGATATAGCATATAAACAACTATTTGCAAACAAGACAGGATAAATTAGAGATAATCTCAGAGGGAAAGCACTAGTATTAAGTGAGATCAGGAAAGGCTTCTTGCAGAAGGTGTGACTTTGGCTAAGAGGAGAAGGAAAACAGAAGGCAGAGATGAGGGGGGAAAGAATTCAAGCATGGGAGGCAGCCAGTGAAAATGCATGACGTTGGAAGATGGAATATTTTGTATGAGGAATTGCAAAGAGACCAGTAGGTAGATGTGATGTTGTCCCTGTTTGGAGGGCAGAAAAACCACTCTGTCTTTGTCTCACCTTCCTCTTTGCCTCTTCCCTCCTCCTTCTCTCTATCTGTTCCCCTCTGCCTCTCTCCCCTCTTGTCCCTTCCTCTTTCCCTCTTCCCTCATCCTTCCTTCTATCTGTTCTCCTCTGCCTCTCTCCCCTCTTGTCTCTTCCTCTTTCTCTCCTTCTCAGGCAAGCCCAAAAGAGCCTACCCCGACCCTCCTTTCAGGAATCCATATATGTTTTGTCTTCCTCTGGGTTTCTGATAAGGACTATATTCCCAATTTAGTGAAGTCATTTTAATGGACTTGTATGTTTGCATTGTGCTAGAAATATCCCTGAAAATCCATGTACTTGATAGCTCTTAATCTTGGGTCTTAAATCTCTCTCTCAAACAAAATTGTTTGTTTGTTCAGTATGGTTCAGCCTGCCAAGTCCTCTGTTGTTGATTGCTCGAAAGGTTCTGAGGTCAAGAGAGCCCTGCCTGCAAGCATTTTCTGGTGGAGGAAATTCTGCTACAAGCTCATCTTTTACAGGTGGTTTTTGCCTTGTTTTTTCAAAATATTTTGCTTTATTTGCTTTTTGACAATGTGGCTACTTCTCAACAAATACCAAAATAGACCCTATTTGGAACTATATCCAGAAGCCACTAGAATCAATGGATCCTCATGGCCCAGAATTGGAAAGGATCTCAGCAGTTTTGGGAGTCCAGTCTCTGCCAGCATCTGGAATCCCCACAAAAATATCCTTGACAAGAGGGTATCCTGTCAATGTCAGTCATCTAGCATTGATTAAGCATCTACTGTATGCCAGGCTCTGTTCTTAAATGCTAGGGAAACAATGAAAGGCAAAAATCACTCCCTACTCACTTCTCTCCCAGCCTTTTTAAGGAGGACATGTAAACAAGATAAAGAAAGGATAAACAGGAAATTATGAGTAGAGGGAAGGCACTAACAGTAAAGGAAGTTTGGGAAAGATTCTTGGCATGAGTTCAAGCTTCTAGAATGTAAGAGAAAACCAGTGTTTTCCTGATGCGCTTTAGCTTCTCCAATACCCCTACCTTCTCTGACACTCTCTGACCCTATGTTTTCTGCACATGCAACCTGACTGGTGCAGCTTCTTGGTCTGGAGGCATAAAAGGTTCCAGCTCCGGACACCTCCCAGACTTGTGGGTGCCTGAATCCAAGTAAGTTGCTATAACCTAATGGGTTTCCAAATGGAGACAAGGCAGGGGGTGGGGGGAAAAGAAATGAGCTAAGTGTACCCTTGTTGTATAGCCTTGCCATGCTGGAGGAAAGTCAAGCTTCTTCTTCGATAAATGTTCAGTGACTTTTGAGTCCCTCATTTCATCTCAACTTCAAACCTGAGCTAAGAGAGTGCCAGCATTAGAGCCGCACTTATATCAGAGGGGGGATGTTACAGTGATAATAGCTAGCATTTATATGGTGCTTTAAGGTTTGCAAAGCATTTTGTTTGTTATCTCATTTAATCCTTACAACAATCCTGGAGGTGTGAGCCATTATTAACCCCACTTTTACAGATGAGAAAACTGAGGCAGCTAGGTGGTGAAGTGGATAGAGTGCTGGGCCTGAAGTCAGGAAGACTCATCTCTCAGAATTCAAATCTGACCTCAGACACTTACTAGCTGTGTGACCCTGGGCAAGGCAAGTCACTTAACCCTGTTTGCCTCAGTTTCCTCATCTACAAAATGACCTGGAGAAGGAAATGACCTCAACAATGACCTCAGACACATACTAGCTGTGTGACCCTGGGCAAGTCACTTAACCCTGTTTGCCTCAGTTTCCTCATCTACAAAATGACCTGAAGAAGGAAATGGCAAAACACTCCAGTATCTTTGCCAGGCGAACCCCAGATGGGGTCATGATGAGTTGGACATGACTAAAAAAAAACTAAACAACAACTGAGCAGACAGAAGCTAAATGACTTGCCTAGGGTCACAAAGTTAGTATTCTGTGGCTGGATTTGAACTTAGGTCTTCCTGACTTCAGGTCCAGTGCTCTTTCCACTTCACTGCTTTTTTCTTTGATGTTTCTGTTGTCAGGAAACTCAATGATTCCTGACTTTACATACTCCTATTTTGAGGACTGCTCTCATTGTTTGTTGACAAGCGTTTTTGTTATTTGTTTTTTATATTCAGATGAAATATGCTTTTCTCTAAACTACTGGTCCCAGTTGTTCCCTTTGGGATCGAGCATATGATGGCCTTTCAAATGTTTAACGGTAGCTCTCACGTTCCTCCAAGTTTTTCCTCTTAGCTCTCTAAACATTCACATTTCCTTCAATATAAATATCAGGGTCAATCAGTCAACAAACATTTATTAAACACCTACTATGTTCCTGCCACTGCAGATAAGAATCACTCCCACCCCCCAATCCAATTCATTTTCTCCAAAAGCTTAGCTTGGTTAGACATTGAAGACACCAAGGTCATCCTCTTCATCCAGGGTCATCACCAGTTATCTTGACTTTTGTCTTACCACTGGACTTCAATGACTCTGGAGAGTGAGGCTGATGACTTTGCATAGCACTGCCTCACTTAAATCCAACTCATGAGCAAGTCAAGACATCACCCTCTTGATATCATTGGACCACTCTGAGAAGGAAGGATGAATAACCACAAGAGAGTCAGACTTGGAGCTAAGAAGACCTGAGTTCAAGTCTCTCCTCACACATACTGAGTGTGTGATTCTGGTCAAGGTAGTTAGCATCTACAATGCTCTAGGCAACTTTCTTTGATTAGAAATTTCAGAGAAAGTATCTAGCCTACATTAGTTGAGAGAGTTTCTTTGCCTGAGAATTCCCTACAGAGTAAGACAGAGCACATAATAAGACATGGAAAACTGCAGAACCTTCTGATTATTAGACAAGTTCTCCGCTTGAAGCAAGGTGTTCGGCTCTTGGTGGTCCTATGTTTTGAGCAAAATGTGAGGGGCTCAAAGAGGATCCAAAAGAGAGGCCCTCAGAGCAGGGCTTTCAGAAATGAGGAGGGGTGGGGATGTCTTCTGAAGTTTAAAATCAAGGACAGAAATCCCCAAAAGGTGTTCAGGTTAAAAGAGCCAAACTTCATAGCAAATGCTTAACAAACTTCCTCCTGCCTGAGTGTTCACTTAAAACATTTTAACAGCAGCCGACAGTCTGCAACGATCAGAGTAATCTATGTAAATGATTTATTTACACGCAAAAATGAGACATTTCACAATAGCTAGACGACAGCCCCCGGAATGGGGCTCTCTTTGGATAGCAATACCACTGAGGCTTGGAAGCCTTCACAGCTCAATGCTCTTGGTAGCTCCGCAGGGGGGTGATTACCCCTCCATAATGGCACTCCTAGCCCAGAGTTGCCAATGTTATTGCTCAGAAATAAATGACTTAGGAGACTTTCAATGCTAGAGTGAGCTTCAAGTACAATAAACATTTTGATTTCAGGAATGCTATGAGCCCCTGCTGGAACATGAGAGTCAAAATGGCAGCAGAGAGGCAAGGAGGGGGTAGGTCCTGCTGTGCCTTGTCATTTATGGTTCTCTTCTATGCTGTCTCACACTAATTGGCTCTAATTCTTTTTTTCTCCCTGACAAGTTAATAAGCTCCAAAGAGAAAAGGAAGTGTGGTACAGTGGTAAGAACACCAAACAAGAGTCAGGAGCCTTGGTCTGGCCTTAATATACCATTAATTCAATATGAGATCTTGGGGAAATTATTCCATTTCTCTGAGTCTCCAGTTCCATCCTCTATCAAATGAAGGGGTTAGGATGAAATGACCTCTCTACTCCCTTCTAGGGCAAACATTCTTTATGGTCTTAAGAACTCTGGGTTCTTAGGTTCTTTCCATCTCGAACATTCTATGTTCTTACCTTCATTGTTCTCTGTGGGCTTGTAGGATTTTAAATATATTTTATTTTGAACTGAGCAATCATTGAAATAACCATTTCAATATACAAAGAACAAAAAAGGAAGAACTTCTGATATGTATTTTTAAGTGTACATTAGATTTGTGCAAAGTAGTGACAAAATTGCCCTGTTTGTGAACTTCTCTTTATTCTTCCATTTAAAAAGATTTTGTCTTCCTTCCTTCCTTCTTTCCTTTCTTCCTTCCTTCCTTTCTTCTTTCTTCCTTCCCTTCCTCCTTCCCTCCATTCCTCCCTTCCTCTTTCTTTCTTTTCCTTTCCTTCCTTCTTTCTTTATTCCAACTAACTCCCCCACCCACCTTTCTTTATAACAAGTATAGATAAGAAACAGAAATCAAAAGACTGGTCAAGCCCCATTCTGTCTCTCTTGCCCTTCATTTCTCTGCCAAGAGGTGGGATACATGCTTCAAAGTCATTCCCCTGAAGGATTGATTGACTTTTGATTTGACTGATAATTAATTGACATCGATTGTGTTGATCAGAATTTTAGTCTTAGAGAATGTTAAGAACTAAGAGAGATATTAGAATATAAAATGTTAGAGCTAGCAATGACCTTGGAACATAGAAAAAAGACTATTAGAACTAGAAAGAAATAGAGAAATATAGAATGACCTTCTCATCGTATATTTGAGGAAACAGAAGCCCACAGAGAGAGGGGAAGTGACTTACAAAAAGTCACATAGCTTAAGTAGAGGCTGAGCCAGGACTGTAATCCAGGTTTCTTTATTCCCAGCTATATCATATTTCTTTGCATCCCCTGGCATCTCCCTGCTAAAGGCATTAGGCACATAGTAGGTTTCCAATAAGTTTATTCTGATTGAGAGAAGGTGCCTGCCAACCATAAATGATCATCACTCAGGCATCAATCTCATGATGCAATTAGGACTTCCAAGGCAGATGCTTCTCAGCAGTGTGCCAAAGAAACAGAGTGGAAAACCATTTTGGAAGAACAAGACAATCAATTTACCAGTTTTCTTGTGTATACAAAAATACCTTGCTTACCATTCTCTGAAAAATAGCAACTTGTCTTGAACAAGTAAGTGGTTGATAGGAAGATTGATCCCTATCCTAGCCCTTTTTCTGTCATTTGTATGCAAATCAACACCAGCAGGCCTTCCATGGAGAGGCAAAGTCATGGCTCATCCTAATTCGCAACAACTTCTATTCTGGAAATTTTGGCCAATGCCAAGACATAGACTTTATCTAAAATATGTTCCAAAAGTTTCAGTGCAGTAAGACTTTGGAATATACTGCATTAAATTTGCTAGCAATACACAATCTTCCTTTAAACCTGAGCTCAAGTATCACCTCCTACATGATGCCTTCCCTGATCTCTCTTTTAGTTTCCAGTTAGAGGTGATCTCTGCCTCCCAAAATATCACAAAACACATTTATATGAGTGCTTTATAACCATTATTTCAGTTCATCCTCACTATAAAGCCTGAGATAATAACAACAATAATTCATAATTCTCAGAGCTTTAATGTTTAAAAAGTCTTTCCTCTTAAGCCTGTAAGGTAGACTTAAGATTATTATCAAATATATGAAAGTATATCACTATATATGCAAATACATTAATTTATGCAAATATTGTGATTCCATTTTGCAGATGGAAATGCAGACGCAGATTAGGAAATAACAATGACAACAAATTTGACTGACAATAATAAATGACTAGTCATGAATTAATGAAAGAGCATTTATTAAGAGCTTATTATATACTAAACTCCAGTGATACAAATAAAAAAGTGAAACAGTCTCTGCTGTCAAGGAGCTTACACTCTAATTGGGGGAGGCATCACAGAAAAGATCGTTCAGCTGTAAGGTGGATAGAAAGACCTAGAAATCTTAAGGGTGCATTGGAAGGACAGATGACAAGGCCCAGGGATCCACAGGGAATAGCAGCAGGTCAAAGGGCAGTGCTGTCAGGTCTGGCTGGCAGATAGTAAGGAATAGATAGTTTCAATGATTCTGATGGCACTAAAGAAGATGTGTTTGCACGTCAACCTTATCTCCCCCTCTAAACTCCAGCCAAACTGGATTATTTGTCATCTGCATTGCTAGGCTTTATCATCTAACCTCCTACTGCTCCCTAAAGACCACTGATTCTTCCCTGCCACTACCACCTAAGGACCACTAAGTCTTACCATTAGCCTACCTTCGCATCCTAATTACCACCAGGTCTTTCCCGTTACACTATAGCTGATCCCTTGTAGGTGTGCTGTCCCCCTCTATTAGCACATGAACTATAAATATACATACATACATACATATGTGTGTATGAGAGAGAGAGAGAGAGACACAGAGACAGAGAGAGAGACACAGAGAGAGAGAGACAGGTTGGTAACCGAGTCTTTCTAGATTTCAATCTCATTCCTCTTTCTTCTACATCACACTATACCATACTATGTTTTGCTAGTAAGCCACATACTCTGAGATATTTTCCCCCTAGTGATGGGAAAGTCTTTGTCCCTGGCTCACCATCTTGCTTTGTCTGACCTTGTGATCAAGGACAGGTAGTTATGAAAATTTGGCCATGGCAAGGGAACTGTTGTCTGTGACTGGGAGGCAGCAGCCAAGTGGACTTCAAAGAGCTCAAATCTTCACCTTTGGCCTCCGTCACATGATACTCTTACCTTTTAGTACACTTATTGAGCTCCCACTTGTTGAGGGATGATTCAGGCAGGTGGGTGGTGTAGTGGATAGATTGCTGGTCCTAGATTTAGGAAGACTTGAGTTCAAATCTGGCCTCAGATATTTACTAGCTGTATCACCTTGGGCAAGTCACTTAACCCTGTTTAGCTCAGTTTCCTGTAAACATAAATACAGAAATGTATTTATAAAAGAAGAAGAAGAAGAAGAAGATGATGATGATACAGATATAGATACAGAAGGATTATCCTTAAGCATCCAAGTCTGACTGATCTATGTAGACTAAGCAAGGAAATTACAGCAGTTATGCCACATTACTGCAGGCTGCAAAATTTTAGCACCTACTGAATACCTAGAAAGACACATCTTGGTGGCTAGAACTGTACTTCAGAAGCTTACTATCTTTCATAAGTATTGATACAATGAATCCCCGTAATATAAATACAGACTTTAAAATATTCTTTAAAATCCAACCAAAAAAACTATATGGAAACTACACAGGTATCCCAGACAAACCTGTTATGTCAATAAACTGCCTGGCTTAAAAGTGACTAATGACAATTCAAGAACTATGATTTCAAAATATGTTGTCACTCCCTGTAGATTCATTGTCTACAGGGAATGAAAAGCTTTCAAAATACAGTAGAAGAAAACAAAACCATGTGGGAATAGGATGAGATACAGATTATCTTCATAAGGCTTTAAAATCCACATGAAAATAATTTCATTCTCATTTTTTTTCAGTGGAGTTCAGATAGAAATATCCTGGGACATGTGACTATCCTGCTATTTAATTCTTTTATATTTATGTGGCTTATCAAGTCTAGTGAAACACTTTCCTCACAAGTAGCAGTAGCTCACACTTAAATAGCACTTTTATTGCTTAAAAGTATTCTGCATTGATTCCATTGCCCCTCAGTAACATTTTGAGGTAGGTTATTATTCCAATGAGGATGACTTTGGAATCTATATATAATCAGCCCTAGTCTTTCTCTTAAGCTTGAATTCTGCATCACCAACTGACTCTTGAAAATTTCTGACTGGAGATCCCATAGGCACCTCAGATTCAAAATAGAACTCAACATCTTGGTTCCTCTTCCCTCCTTCTTCCAAATACCCTTATTGCACAGTTTCACAAACTCTGAGCCATCCTAGACTTTTTACCCTCCCTTGCCACGCATTCCAATCAGTGGCCTAGTCTTGACAATTTTACCTTCATGACATTTCTTGTGTTGGTCCCCATCTCTCCACTCACACAGCCACCACCCTAACTCAGGACCTCATTGCCTCTCACCTAGCTTGTTGCAAAAGCATTCTAAATGGCGTCTTTGCCTAAAGTCTCTTCTCTCCTCCAATCATCTTCCCCACAGCTACCAATGTGATACACACAAAAGATAGTTCCGACAATGTCATTCCCCCATGCCATAAACTCCATCAGTTTTCTCTAAGATCAAATACAAATTCCTCTGTTTGAAATGTGCAACCTGTCACAACCTGGCTCCAACCTATTGAAGCGGAGGTGGGAACAATGTCCAGAAATGACAGTGATGTAAAAGCAGAAGGCGTCAATAATTTTTTAAAATGGAAGTTCATTTCATTTCCTCCTTTAATTCTTCCTTGTTCTTCTCTCTTTTTTTATTTTACTAATGTCTTTTGCCTCTATGTCACAGTGATTTTCAAACACATAGCTGCTGTTTCTTCTGCCCAGAGAGTCTTTTCTTATTACAAAGATTAAACACACCGAAAAATACTTTAGCAAAACCAGCCAATACATCTATCCTGTCTGACATCATTATCTTTCTCCAGTTTTGAAATGATCTCTTCCTTCTCTCACAACTCATATTTGGGTACCCATTCATCACTTCCTGGCCACTCCCTCTCTTGCTGCTTAGTGGAACTAATTTTCTATAACTTGGTAAACAATGTACAACAAAGTTTGTTACTTTAAAGTGAATTTAAGAAGAATCAAAGAGTGAGACACTGCAAATTGCCTCTGGTGAGACAATGCAAAGAAGAAATACCCGGGGCTGTTTTCATTTCGTTTTATACTCTTCCCTTGGGAGCTGTGCTTTCAATAGGATTCATTTTCTGCCTGTAATTGAAGACATAGTGTGTAATATACCACACAGCTACAGCTGAATATGTTTTCTCTAAATTTCCTGTCACACAGGGTAACTGCTTTCAATTTACAAGCATTAATTAAGCCTTAAAACACCTCTGGGAAATATGTTTGATAATCATGCTGCAAGTCAGCAGGTGAACTCATAGCCAGCTTAATATAAGGCTTATTTTAACAAAATAACAGAGCTAAATTTGTGTCTACAACAAACAAAAAAAGTGGAGATTTGCCAACTATCCAAATATTTTATTGATATCAAAATAAATGCTCAAATCCCTAAGTTATTCAGTGATCTTATCAATGCAGACATGCACTCCATTGCTACAGGTTGCAACCCATACATGCCTGCCTATCCTTTATCCATAATCTTTATCCATGGCTTCCCACATGTTTATCATAGGTAGTTCATACAATACGGAAGAGAACTTCCTTGAATTCTCTTGGCATCACAAGTATGTCGATAAAACCACTGGACAACCCATATGTGGCTCAGATATTCCTTACTCTCTTTCTGTGAAAAGTCCCTCTTCATTTACAATCAAAATTTTCTTTTATGCTATCCTTCCCTGTTATAATTATGTGTATATATATATATATATATCCTTCCCTTTGTTATAATTCCATATTTGTAATAAGTAGCCTGCTCATATCAGCCATGAGCCTTTTTATTAACCTTTGGAGATCTTTAAATTCAATGTTTAGCAAACTGGCGTGTTTCATGATTCATAACTATACAAAACAGAAGAATAGTCATATTAAAACGATGGGCCTTTGTTTTAGGAATAAACTGTTTTAGGAATAAATAAATTATACATTCAAATAATAGTTATAATAATAACAGTTTGGGGGCAATTAGTTGGTACATTTGATACGGTGCTGGGCCTGGAGTCAAGAAGACTCTTCTATTGAGTTCAAATCTGGCCTCTGACACTCCCTAGCTGTGTGACCCTGGACAAGTCATTTAACCCTGTTTGCCTCAGTTTCCTCATCTGTAAAATGCGCTGGCAAAGGAAATGGTAAATCATTCCAGTATCTGCCAAGAAGACCCCAAAGGGGGGTCATGGAGAGTCAGATATGACTGAAAATGACTGAACAACAACAATAATAGTTCGAGAGGCAGTAAGGATAGAGAACAGGAAGTGGAGACTGGGTGATCTGGTCTGAAGTTTTAGTTCTCACATGTACTGGCTATCTGAACCCGGGAAAGATGCTTATTCTCTCATTTCCCCAAGGAAATTTCTAAGACTGTAAGTTGCAGATCTGTTGCCAACACATAGAGGAAGTTTCCTCACCTGGAGGTCTCTGTACTAATGAATGAGCCTAGTCAAAAAATATTTTAAACTAAATAATAATTTAGATTGAATGGGTGTTATATGGTAGCAAAATACTTGTAGCTTTCAGAATGGGTCCTTGAAGTGAGGCTTCTCTGGGTTCAAGACATGATTTGGGTCCACGGAAATTCAAAACTATTAACTCATGAGCTCTTACGGATGTACCTACTAGTAGTAGTCATCAGAAGACTCAATCAATGCGACATAAAGAAAGGCATTTATTGAACTAACATAGTGTGAAAAGTAGGATTAAACATCTTCCCCATAAAGCTGAGGTGCACTCCTACAAATAGCCATAGCATTGGGGAGAACAGCAGACAAACAATAGAGAACGTGCATGACTAGGGCGTGTACATGGAGAAGCATACCTTCTGGGGCACCTCTGAGGCTGCAGGGCTGCTAATATCTTTTGGTGATATTCCACTGAGCCTGTTCTCTACTGGTCTCTTTCAGGTATATTGATACACAACTTCTGCCATGCATGGCTCTACCGGTTATGTGGCTGTGGAACTTCTCTTCCTTTCCGGTTTCTGGCTTCAGCTGAAGTCCTTGGTATTAGTGCTGTCTCCTCCTCATGAGAAGAATGGTCTCTACTATGCTCTTTTAATTTAAAATCTCAAGGCTTTTAAAAATAATTATTTTAGAAAAGTAATAATTCATGCTCTGTAGACAATCAAAATCCTTCCCTAGGGAGAAAAACTTTACAGAGTATTCTATCTCATTAATTTCAGAATCTTTTCTAAAAGGTCTCATATTCGATAAGAAATTCTTTATTCTGAGTGGCAAGCTCTTTAGAACACAGAGAAGGTTCCCTGCTAACTAAATATCTAGTGCCTTCAAGCTCAAGTCTATCTTTTGAACCTAGGTCTCTAAGCTTTTATCCATAAGCATGACCTCATTCTAGCTTGTTGGGCTTTCTGCATGCTTCCTGATTTTAATCTCTGAAGACAAGTCTACACATACTACTACTACTACTACTACTACTACTACTACTACTACTAGCATTTATATAAAACTTTAAGGTTTGCAAAGGACTTTATAAATTATCTCATTTTATCCTCACAACAATCCTGGGAAATAGGTGCTATTATTATCCCCATCTTACGTATAAGGAAGCTTTAGTGACTTTTCTAGGGTCACACTGCTAGTTAATGTCTGAGCCCACACTTGAACACAGGTCTTCCTGAATACAGATCAAGAGCTCTACCCCCTCTATCAGTTCTATCTACCGCACCACTCCTAGCTGCACAGTCATCATCTTTGGAGTAGATACTTACCCAGTAATTGCCAAGGACCTTAGGGTTCCAAGGTCTCCCAATATTTCAATTTGAAAACCCTTCTACTCTCCCATATAGAGTGCTGGGTATGGGAAAGGCACAGAGAAAAGCTAAGTCCAAGGAAGCAAGCTCATTATTCCTCCTACCTGTCTAGCTACATTCTTGATATATATAGATACAGGTATCTTTATGTGTTTATGTGAACACATATATACTTATATATACACATATGTGTACATATATATAACAACTATATAATATATTGACAAATTCTTTCATCTTACATATGTGTATATGTACATATGTATATGTATATATATGTATGTGTGTGTGTGTCTGTCTAACTAGGTGGTGCAGTGGATAAAGTGCTAGGCTTGGAATCACAAAGACTCACTCACCTTCATGAGTTCAAATCTAATCTCAGATACTTCCTAGCTGTGTGACCCTGAGCAAGTCACTTAACCCTGTTTGCCTTAGTTCCTCATCTGTCAAATGATCTGGAGAAGGGAATGACAAACACAGTATCTTTGCCAAGAAAACCTCAAATGGGGTCATGAAGAGTCAGACATGACTGAAATGACTCAACAACACCCCCACCCACCCCTACATATACACATATGTATTATATATGTATGTGGGTGTGTATGTGTGTATATATATATACACACACAAACATACATACATATATGTGAATTTCATTTAAACCTTGCAACAACCCTTTGAGTAAGTAGTACAAGTAGAAAGAAGGCCACATTGGAATTCTGGACACTGATTCAAGTCCCAAATCCTGGCCTCTTTACTACTTGTTTGATCTCTGTCAAGTCATATTTGTCAGTTCAGACTTAGAAAGGTCATCAGAGGTCCTCTAGTACATCCCACACTTAAACAGAAATTCTCTTTTCAATATCCTTGACAAGTGGTCATCCAGGCTCTGTCTGAAGCCCTCCGGTGATAGGGAATCACTACCTCTGGCAACAGCTCATTCTCATTCACTGAACTTTTGATATAGTTTCTCCATCCATAACATGGAAATAACAATGTTTTGGGGGCCGGGGGTGGGGGAAGTTTGATGAAGTATTCCTAATAGCCCCAGATACCTCCTTGCTTATATGATTACCTGTTCACCAGGATCATAGTAAAAAAGCTCTTTATAAACCATGCATCATGAAAAATGTGAGTTATTATTATTGTTATTATTATTATTATTATGAGACCAATTTTACAGATGAAGAACGAAGCCTAAAGAATCTCAAAGGTAACTTGCCCAGTATTGCACAGAAAATAAATCTCAGACCTGGAATGCAATCAGTCCAAATTCAGTGCTCTTTCCATTACACTGACTGTGACTCTCACGTATCCTTATTCAATGCCTCTTATGCAAAGTACATTGGAGGATCCAAAGATGTCGGAGGATATGGGTTCAAATGGGTAGGTCAGGTAATCTATCAAGGTCTCAATTTCTTCATCTGTAAAATGAAGGTTGTACTAGATGCCCATAACATTCTGGAGTGTTGCCCAAACCAGATTAAAATATAATTGGGAAACATTTAACAAAATAAATGAAAGTACACTAAAACATAGATAACATGACATTTTAAAACTAAGTCAACGTGTGGCCCACAGGTATCCTTATGTGTGGATTTGTGGCCTCTATTTCTATTTGAGTTGGACACCACTGGACTAGATGATCTCTGAGGGCAGTTAGAGTTCTGAATCTATCACCCATGATCTCTCAGGCACTTCCTACCTTTCCAAATATTATAATTACTATGACTAAGACCCTGTCCCTGCCCTTAAAGAATGTACAGTCTTTTAAGCAAAGTAAGACATGAAAAGAAATAACTATAATGCTATCATGGTTGATATTGTTCAGACATTTTCAGTCGTGTCTTAACTCTTCATGACCCCATTTGGGGTTTTCTTGGCAGAGATACTGTAGTGGTTTGCCATTTCCTTCTGCAGCTCATTTTACAGATGAGGAAATTGAGGCAAACAGAGTGAAGTGACTTGCCCAGGGTCACACAGCCAGTAATTGTCTGAGACCAGATTTGAACTCACAAAAATGAGTCTTCCTGACTCCAGGCCAGGTGCTCTATTCACCACCTAGCTGCCCTATTATGGTTTGGTACATAGGAGGAAATTAGATACGTCTATATATACCTTGGAACCAGAATGACTCCAATTGACCATCAACACTTCTTTCAAGGGGGTCAGATAATCACCAAAATCCCCCCTTCCCTTTCTGTATGGTGGCCACAGCCATTGTTAAACAGGAGATTCTAAAGTCATGCTGGGATGGCCAGCGTTTTGCCATCTGCTCAGTAACAATGTGGCAGTCTGAGTGACAGATGGATTTTCAATATCCCAGTAGTGACAGTGATCTGAGTGTCAGGCTGACCCTAGAGATGGCACCTGGAGGCCACAGCGACCTCATCAGTCATGTAGCAGAAACAGGAGGAGAATTCAATAATCGTATTGCCTGCTGCTTTCAAAGCTGGGAGTAAACTCTGGAATAAAAATATTTTTCCTAAGAATATATGCAATATACAGAAACTTCGGTGGGGAAAAAGCTGCAGACAACACAGGAGTGTTTAGAAGGAGAGATACCAGGTTTTGCTAAGCGCAGAATTTTTAATGGGTCCTAGGCACATTTTCCTGCTAATGTGACCAGGTTTTCCCTGAGACTGTTCCCAAAAACTAAAACCTTTTGAAGTCTTTGGGAAGGAGGTTAATGATAAAATTCCCACGTTCCAGAATTTAATTTAATTCAACAAATATTTACTCAACACCTATGGAAGGGGAAGTCTTTGGCATATACACAAATAGATATGAGAAGGCACTTAAATGATTTTTCATTTATTCATTCTTTCAAAGGGTGATAAGAGCAAAGGAAGGATCCAGACTAAGATGCTCTAAAAATTTGTTGAGTGAAGAGATCACTTTCATTTAAAGGATGCCAGTGGTCTACTGGTAAATGTTTAACAACCAGCTCTCCAAAAACACTTTCTTAAATTTAGACAATCAATAAAACAACAAGTCAAGTCCTGATTTGTATCTTTTGCTGATTTCTAACGTGTAAATTCCTCACAGTGAAAGTTTAGCGATCAAGCCCTATATATGCTGGCCTTAGCACAACCTTGGATGGAAATCAGAAAAGACATCATGAAAGAAATGGCACTTGAACTGGAAATTCAATACACTCCAATTCAATTCATTAGTTTAATGATGATGATGGTGGTAGTGGTGGTAAATAACTCACGTTTATAGAGAACTTTAAAGCTTGTGAAACACTTTTGACACATTATTTCATTTGGTCCTATATTACCTAGCAAGCAGCTATGGATACTGGAGTCGTTTGCTATTTCCTTTTTAAGCTCAGTTTTACAGATGAGGAAACAATCTATTGTTGTGCTTTGTGCTGAGGATAAAACAACAGAAAATTGCATACTCCAGACCCACAAAAAGCTTAAATCCAGTGTAGAGATATGCCACTAAAATGCAAAACTACAATAAGGACAAATAGAGGTCAAATAAAGAAGGATAAAACATTAGAGGAGAGAGATCTAGCTGGAGAGATCAAGGAACACTTCATGGAGAACATAGCACTTGAACTGGGTTTTGAAGGAAAATAAGGGTTTCAAAAGAGAGGAGGAGAGTGTTTCAGCATGGAGGGAGGAAAGAATAGAACAAAATGATAAAATGGTAAATAGTCTTGTTGTCTGGAAATGAAGAGTATATGAAAGGAAGGCAAGCAAAAGGTCGGCAAGGTAGGTCAGAGCCAAGTGGTGAAGGGTGTTGAATACCAGACTGAAGAATTTGTATTTTGTCTCATAGACAATAGAGAACCGTTGAAGATATTGGGGGAAGGTTTATAACTTGATCTGACCTGAGCATTTGGTAAAGAATTTTGGTAGCTATGAAGAATTAGAGGATTTAGAAATGGAGAGGACATAAAGGTTAGTCCAGTCTGATACTCTCATTTTATGGATGAAATGAGGTTTAAAGAGATTACTTGCTTATTGCCATGTATGTTGCAAGAAGCGAAGCCTGGCTCTGAACTCAGATTCTCTGTCCCTGCTCTAGGATTAGAGAGAGAAGATACTGGAAGACCTGAATGAAAATAGATTGTTAAATCATTGTATTCAAATCAACTTATGGACCGAGGAAAGACCAACTAAGTCAGAGGATCTGGATTTAAAACCTGTTTCTAGGTGGTACAGTGGATAGAGTCAGGGAGACCTGAATTCAAATTCAGCCTCAGACACATCCTAGCTGTGTGAACCTGGGTAAGTCACTTAACCTCTCTTTGTCTCAATTTCCTCATCTATAAAATGGGGATAATAATAGCACCTATCTCCCAGAGGATCAAATAATATAATAATTATAAAGCTCTTAATGTTAGGGCTGATGACGAAGATGATGGTGGTGATGATGATGATGATGATGGTGATGATGATGATGTTTACTACTGTGTGACCTTGGACAAGTCCCTTAACCTTCCAGGCCTGAGAAACAGTTGAGCCAAGGCATGTAAGCCACAGCATGTAAGGTGTGTTGGGGACATGGAAGGAGTAGATTACAGGGAAAGGAATGAGATAAGAGAGAGAAGGCTGACGTGGTCAAATGGAAGTTCTTGAATGCCAAGTAGAAGAATCTAAACCCAATTCAGCCTGTTAGAATATAAACTCCTTGAGGACAGGGGAACTTTCATTTTTGTTACTTTATCCCCACTGACCAATACAGTGTCTGATATATAGTAGCTTCTTAATAGTACTTGTTGATTGATTGTTCAAATTAAAATCAATTCAATAAGCATTTATTGAGTCCTATTATGTGCCAAGCACTGTGCTAGGGATACAAAACTAAAAATGGAAAAATCCTTGCCCTCAGGGAGCTTATAGTTTACCCAGTTAGCAATAGGAAGCCACTGAAGATTTTGCGGTAGAGGGGTGCCAGGGCCTGTTCTATGTATGTATAAGAAAGATTAATTTGTCATTTCTTTGAAGAATGGATGGGAGGAGTAAGGGGAGAGGGTAAAAGTGGAAAGACCTATTTGAGGGTCACTATGATAGTCCGTTCAGTTTGTAATGAAAGTCTACTGTTGTTCATTTGTTTCAGTTGTGCCCAACTCTTCATGACCCTATTTGAGGTTTTCTTGACAGAGATACTGGAGTGGTTTGCCATTTCCCTCTCCAGCTCATTTTACAGATGAAGAGACTGCGGCAAACAGGGTTAAGTGACTTGCCCAGGGTCACACAGCCAGACTTGTGTCAGGAAGGTGAGTCTTCCTTCTGACTTCAGGCCCTGGCCCTTTATCCACTGTGCCACCTTGCTTATTCAATGAAAGGCTATACTACAATAATAATAACAGGAATAAAGATCTTCTCCCCTAACCTGCCTCTCTTCTCCACTTTCCTGTTACTCTTCATGTAACCACCATTTTCCCAGGCTTGAAACCTCAGTCATCTCATGTCCAATCAATTGCCAACATCATTTGATTTCATTTCTACAATACCTCTTGCATCCATCCCCTTCTCTCCATTTCCATGGCCATCACTATAGTTCAGATTCTCATTACCATTCACCTGAATCGTTGTAACAGTCTCCTACTTAATTTACCTGCCTAAAGTATCTCCCTTCTCTAAGCCATCCTTCACACCATTGCCAAAGTGATCTCCAAACGTACAGGTTGAGCCATGTTAATATTCTTCTCAAAAACCTTCAGCGTCTCCCTATCACTTATAGGAAATTGCTTATATATAGGAATGTTCCTTATATAAATTCAAACTCCTTAGAGTCTGACTTTTAATGTAGCAAGGGCTATTCCCCCTCTCATATAGCAAGGGGGTGTTATGTGTTGGACAGCCCCTGCTATATTAAGAACCTCAACAATATGACTCCTATCTTTCCAGATTTATTTAATTTAACTTCATATTCTCTATTCATTGAAACACTAACTGATCCCTTATTTTATCCAATTTTCTTCCACCTCCATGTATCTGGCCAGGCTGAATCCCAGCCCTCAAATGCACACTCCCTTGCCAAGTCTAATGAATATTAGACTGGATATTTGTGGAATATCTTTCTCCTTTGCTTTTCATTCTATCACTACATACTAGTTACATGACTAAGGAGATTGCAATATGCCCCAGATCTTACAATCTAGAGGAGGGAAGAAGCAGGTGAAGAGAAAGAAATAACCAGACTAAATGAAAAGAACTGGGGAAAAAGAAATGGTGTAAGGTATAGCACAGAGACTGGAGGGGTTCAGTGAAGAGGGGGAAGAATAATGTGAGTTGGAGGAGTTACTGAGGATCTTAGAGGATCACTGAGAAGTGAGCAAGGAGAAGCAGCTGGAATAAGAATCCTTACTCCTAGTCTTAACTTCGCTCACCATCTAGAAGCTGACCCTCTACAAAGCTGTGAGTAGAACCCTGTGGGGGCCATTTGCTACCTTCCCATCAGAAGCAATTGCTGAAATGGTCTGAGACGCTTGACTATGTCTCTACAACTCTACAACCTAGTTAAGTGCAGAAAAGGGTTAGGGGGAATCACTTGCAAGGTGTTTGTTTTTTAATGTGTTATTGTTGTTGATTCTCCATGACCCCATGGACCACAGCATGCCAGGTCCTTCTATCCTCCACTATCTCTTGAAGTCTGTCCAAGTTCATGTTCGTTGTTTCCATGACACTATCTATCCATCTCATCCTCTGTTGTCCCCTTTTCCATTTGCCTTTAATCTTTCCCAGCATCAAGGTTTTTCCAATGAGTCCCATCTTCTCATTATGTGGCCGAAGTATTTAAACTTTAGCTTCAGCATTTGACCTTCCAGTGAATAGCCTGAATTAATTTCTTTAATCATTGACTGATTTGATCTCCTTGCTGTCCAAGGAACTCTCAAAAGTCTTCGTTAGCACCATAATTTATAAGCATTGATTTTGTAGTGCTCAGCTTTCTTTATAGTCCCACTCTCACAGCTGTACATTGCTACTGGAAAAACTATAGCTTTGACTATATGGACCTTTGTCAGTATGGTGACGTTTCTGCTTTTAAGTATGCTGACCAGATTTGCCATAGCTTTCCTTCGAAGGAACAATTATCTTTTAATTTATTTGGTTTTATTACTTTTGCTTTTAGGAGCATGAGTGTGAGTGGAAGACATACACACACATACACACATACATATACATATATATGTACATATATACACACAGAGAAAGTAGGACCATATACAGCAACATTGTGTGGGTTTGTGATCTACTCCATTATGCTATGTTAGTGTGAATGATTAGAAATAGAGCAAGAATGGAAGACAGCAGAATTTGTTTTTTGTTGTTGTTTGGGTTTTTTTGGTGTGTTGGGTGGGGAGAGTAGGAGTCAACAGTCTAGTTGAAGAAATCCATAAAGACTATACACCTAGACTAGAATCATAGATATAGAGCTGGAAGATCCTTTAGAAGTTGTCAAATCTAGCCCTCTCATTTTTAAGGTGAGCAACTGAGGCCCTGAGAGGTTAAACATCTTAAGATAACAGAGGTACAAGCATACTTCATTTTATTGCCCTTGACTTTATTGCTCTTCACAGATACTGTGGTTGGTTTTTGTTTTTTTTTTTTAACAAATCAAATGTTTGTGGCAACCCTGTGTCAAACGAGTCTATCTCATGCACTCACATAGTCTCTGTGTCACATTTTGGCAATTCTCACAATATTTCGAACATTTTCAGTATTATTATATCTGTTATAGTGATTTGTGATCAGTGGTCTTTGATTTTACTACTGCACAGTTATCCCTTCTCCATTTGGACTTTCTCCATTGTGGCTTCCATAAATTGCGGGTCAGCATAAGAAATTAAATGGAAATGTTTGGGGAGTTTTGCAGAAGCCACAGACTACATGTAAAGGCCAGCAGACACCACAGGAAAAGTTTAGAGGCTCAGAAGTGCATAAAATATATGTATGGTATTATATAATATCAACCCAAATTTTACAATAAGGTACTGTAAACACCCCATAAAAGAAAAAGAAAAAAATCAGACTTTTTCTCTGATATGAAGGAAAGGCTAAAAAATTTTACTTTGGTTTTCTAGATCATGGGGGCACTGTGTCCCTAACCCCTGAAATGTGGAAGGGGTAACTGTAATTGTTTCAAAGTTTCATGAACTCTGCCCATATAAGATGGCGAAATTAATTGATAAATATTGTTATGTGTTCTGATTGCTCCACTGACCATCATTCTCCTTCTCACCAGGCCTGCCCATTCCCTGAGACATAACAATATTGAAATTATGCCAATTAATAACCCTCAATGGCCCCTAAGTGTTCAAGTGAAAGGAGGAGTCAATCTAAGCAGCAAATTTCATTGTTGCCTTATTTTAAGAGATTGCCACAGCCACCCCAACTTTTAGCAACTACCTCCTTGATCAGTCAGCAGCCATCAACATCGAGGCAAGACCCTCCATCAGCAAAAAAGATTATGATTTGCTGAAGGCTCAGATAATGATTAGCACTTTTAAAGCAACAAAGTATTTTTTAATTAAGGTATACACATTTGTTAGACATAATATTGTGGCACACCCAATAGACTACAGTATAGTGTAAACATAATTTTTTTATACAATGAGAAACCAAAAAAATTTGTGTAACTTGCTTGATTGCAATATTTGCTTTATTGTGGTGTTCTGGAACCAAACCCAAAATATTTCCAAGGTATGCCTGTAGGAAGTAGGAGAGCCAGGATTTGAACTCAAGTGCTCTTATTGGGCTGCTAAATGGCACAGTGGACAGAGTGCCAGGCCTGGAGTTAGGAAGACCTGAGTTCAAATCTGGCCTCAGACCCTTACTAGCTATGTGAACCTGGGCAAGTCACTTAACCTTGTTTGCCTTAGTTTCCTCATCTGTAAAATGATCTGGAGAAGGAAATGGCGAACCACTCCAGTATTTTTGCTAAGAAAACCCCAAATGAGGTCATGAAGAGTCAGACACAACTGAACAATAACACTTACTCCAAATCTAGCGTGCCTTCCAATCTAAAATACTACTTATAAAATGAGCACTGCTACCTACATACGGGATAGAACTAGAGAAGAAAGGCAACCAACCCTTTGAGAACCACAGAGAGCTTGGTATTGCTTCCCAGGCATCCTCTAGTGTTGGATGACAGTAGAAATATGGAATTGCAATCAGTTGACCTTCATCCAAGAAGGGGGTCCAGAAGTGCCTCCAGCTGGCTAAATTAGGTTGTAGTATCATTTCAAATATATACATATATATGCAAATATATCCTTAGTTCATAGATGCTATTTTTGATGATATTTATAGATAATGTCCATGAGTTCCTTCATGTTTCTATTGGGCCTATGATTTATTAAATTTTACTACCTTTGACATGGTGTGTATGACAAAGAGAGAGAAATACAAAGACACAAAGAGACAGAAAAAGAGACAGTGTTAGTAGAGTCAATTCACTGACCGCTTTCTTTCTATTGGTCAACTTCCAATTTAAAGTTTTGAGTGGTGATGTCGGAGGGCAGGGTGATGTTTACAGGTTGGGCAGGGTATCTTCCTTCCTTTCCCGAATCTCAGTAATCCTGATAATAGAAACAAGAGAAACCTGCAATATTCCAAATCTCTAAATTAACAGCATTAGACCTTAAGCAATCGTATGCATTTCAAGTGTGTGTGATATCTCAATGAATTTTTATTAATAGAGCCATCTTGATTCCAAGTTAAACTCAGAGGCATAAACATAGAATCATGAATAATGATGCATCTTAAGTCATTAGTATAAATAATGCAAACAGGAACTAAGCATTTTGGAGTAGATATCAAGAATGTTTGTTTTCATTTTTTTGAAATACCTTTTTATTGATGTCTTGTTTTCACAAGGTCTAAATTTTCCCTGTATTGGAAAAGGATTTCATATGAAGCATTTTAAAAAAGTGTTTGCTATGGCTTTGTGCTAAGCCGTGGGAATACAAAAACAAGCAAAAAGAGAACTTTTGCCCTCAAGGAGTTTGATTTCTAACAGGGGAAGATAACACATAAAAGGGAGCAGAAGGTAGGGGGAATGTGGAAAAAGTAGTTTTGAGAATTAGGAGCTGAATCTGTGAGTATAACTGATGTTGATATTTCCTTAAATGAATGTTATTATGAGGAACTCACCAGTGGAGGAAGAGGCTGGGGATTACATCTCCATAATGAGAAGGGTTTTGGAGGAGGGATAGAAAATGACAGGGAGGTAGAAAGCAGTTTTCAGATAGAAAGTAAACCAAGTGTG